GTTGCCTTCTCTAGTGCAGCTCAACCAGGTCTCGTCCCATTCGTCGATATTTGTGATATCACAAATCCCGGAAAATATGCGTTGTAGTCCAAACGAGTCGTTCGTTGTAGTTTTTGAAAAGTGATTTCTGTTAAATAAAATATCTCCTTTTTGAAGTGGACTTTGTAACTTTGCAGATCTTTTTAATGCTCAAACAGCAACATTACAGACTAACTAAAAGTGAAAAAGCATAATAGGACCCCTTTAAGTCATATGAGATCAAACCACTATTCGACAACAAAAATATTTGTCGACAATTTTTTTTATTGTCGATAATGTCTACTAATAGTTTCAGCCCTACATGTAATAAAACAATTGTCTTAATGTACTGATTAATCAGTTATGGTGATATATTTTCCCCCCTCTGTATTCATGCTTGAGACATTTTACTGATGTCTTAATGTGCGTTATTTTTTATAACTATATATATTCAGGAGTGAAGCTGCTCTCTGATGGATTGAAGGAGAATTGTAAACTGGAGAAAATCGGGTGAGTTGCTGTCTAACATATTAAAGGTCTCTGGGCCTTTTGTTTGCATCCATATTAAGTCATGGGTTTTGTTTTTTTTTTATTATTATTATTTTTTTATTAATAGCTTTATGACTACTATTCTAAAATATTTTACTAGCAGTGTCTATATTTTAAGACAATTCCGTTCTCATTCGGAATTCACTTTTTGAATGAAACAGAAAGCAAGAACGACCCAAGTGCTTACGATTCGAGTGACCAATCGGAGCGTCCCAAGACATTTGAGTGACGTGAGCGACGGCCTATCGGAGACGAGCCATCGCTTGAGGGGCGGTGACTAATCATGCTTTGTGTTGTAAGCAAGTTAGTATCGGTCTCAGAATCGCTAACTAAATCGAATAATTCAGTCAAGCTGCAGCTTCAGGTCAGTATATATTTGATTTGCTTACGTGCATCTCGTTACTTGACGACTTTCTGATAAATATATGTTGGATATTGAATATCTGTTTGTCGGTCATTATGTCAATACTGTGTTTTTAGCGCAGAATGAAGACCTTAGTAGTGTTCGACTTCGATCACACTATAGTGAATGACAACAGCGACACATGGGTGATCCGCTCCACTCCTGAGAAGACGTTACCGGACTGGCTGAAGAAGTCGTACCAGAGAGGCCGCTGGACCGAGTATATGGGTCGAGTCTTGACCTACATCGGAGACCAGTCCGTCCGGCCGGAGCACATGCGCGCGGTTATGGAGAGCATCCCGTTTACTGACGGCATGATCGAGCTCCTGACCTTCATATCTGAGCACAAGAAAGACATCGACTGCATTATAATCTCCGATTCTAATAGTGTCTTCATAGACTGGGTTTTGCATGCATCAGGGGTGAAGTCTGCTATGAATGACGTCTTCACCAACCCTGCCAGCATCGATGCGCGCGGCTATATGAGTGTGCGCTGCTTTCACGCGCATGACTGTCAGCAATGTCCTGTAAACCTGTGCAAGAGGAGGGTGCTGCAAGATTTCAGAGAGAAGCAAGCTAGGGCTGATGTGCATTATGAGAGGATTTGCTATATAGGAGATGGAGGAAATGACTTTTGCCCCATTAAAGAATTGAAAGAAGGGGATATTGCAATGCCTCGGAAAGGATTCACCCTAGAGAAACTGTTGTGCAAAGCCATTTCAGAGGGTTCAGAAGCACTCCCGGCGAAAATCATGCCCTGGGCTAGTGGCAATGAAATCCTCAGGCAATTAAGAGCTCTAATTGAGTAATATAGTATTATAGCCAATATTGTGACTAACTACAGACTCACTGAACAGCACATGTTTATTCTGCAGTAAATGCATTCTGTGCATCCTATTATAGCTCATTTCCCTCTTAATCTACTTGATAAACTAATACGGGCATGGTGTAATATCTGTCATAATTAAGTTTACGTTTCGGTTGCAGTGCACATTTTAAAATGTCATTTTTAACAGATTTACATCTAATTGTTTTTGACAGTAATTTTAAATCTCTTTGAGATTTAAATCATAAGATAAGCTCGCTGTTTGGATTCATATAACAAATAATTTAACAGTTTGAGGTGCTTAATATTTAATTCATTGAGGTTTGCTGCAGAACGTTAAAATGAACACATGTTTTAACATGCTAGCTAAATATTTATTCTAAAATCTGCATGACGAAAAAATACTATGCCGATAAATACCATTATTGTCATGTTGTAAGAATTAATGCAGCCTGAATGTGACACTGCAGTTTGGTACTACTATGAAATGAAAATAGTTTAATATTTCAATGCAGAAGTTATAATACGAACCATATTATTATTATTGGAAACCCGAATCTGCTTGTTAGTATCATATTTGCATATATACAGTGGACCCCAAAAGTCTGAGACCGCTAGTAGTTTTTATTTTAGTTATATAATATTTTTTTTTATATTTTTAAATTGATTGTATATTACAAATAAATTTATTAAATAATAATAAAAGTATTTGCATAAGGAAATTTACTTTACAAATTGTCAGAAATTTGAAATGTTAATTTCCTAAAAATTTTACGGCATTATTATTATTACTGAAACACTTAATTTTTATTTTTATTTTCAGATTGTCAATGTGGTCTCAGACTTTTGGACCCCACTGTATGTCTCAGTGATGTTTCACAGCCGGGTCATAGTAGCTCGTGCTGAGTCCTGATAACAGCAGTTTGGGGTGAGACTTGTCACTCTTGACTTTAGATAAACAGTGTTGTGAATGTTTGTTCCTGAATGAGCTTGAGTTTAGATGGGTATTATAAATGCAGCCTGATTCTTGATTCAGTGTGTTGTATTGAAAGCAGACGGATGGAAGGAGAGCAT